CCTAGGGGGGATGGCCACGCCACAATCCCTTCTCCTCCATTCTCCTCTCGGGATCTTGGGCACGCACGCACAAGCGCCCAGCGTGAGTTTTAAGCCACCGGGTCCGGTACGCGAACCGCGGTCGACTACGTGGGAGTCCAGCAACATAGCCATTACGCTAACTGCTGGTTCCCGAGAGGCTTTTTGCTATAGGGTGTGTGCACTCACCAGACAGAGAGAGACAGAGAGACAGAAAGCCAGAAATCATCCCCCAGGGGAGATGGCCATGCCGCAATCCCTTCTCCTCCATTCTCCTCTTGGGATCTTGGGCACGCACGCACACATGCCCGGCGTGAGTTTTAAGCCACTGGGTCTGGGACGCGAACCATGGTCGACTACATGGGAGTCCAGCGACATAGCCATTACGCTAACTGCTGGTCCCTACTGGGCCCTATTCTGAAAGATGTCTCTGAGCCTCATTTGAAGTTCCAGTCTGGCCATGAATGACTGGTGTGTGTGCTGGAGCCCGGGCTGTGGGTCTGACAAGGGAATCTGGCATGAGGGCAGGGCGGTGTAGGAACCGCCCAGCACAAAGGCCTGGGTCAGTCCAGATCCCTCTGGACGGAACCAGAGCTCACCCACGATGACTCAGCCCTGCCTGGTGGTGGCCACTGGAAGGGTGGCCCAGGATTTGCCCAGCCCCAACGATGCCCAAGCTGGCCACAGCTGCCCAGGCTGCAGGCCCGTGTAAACGGAGCCCAGATTTAGGCAAAGCATCTCAATGCCATGTTGGGAAGGAAAAGTCAGATCTTTGCCCGGAGAAAACCCAAGTGAGGCTTTCTAGGAATGGCAGTGTCTATGCTTGTCACGTCATCAGAAGACACAGAGAGCTTCACTCTTCACATACTGCCGCTCAAGGCCTGGCGACCTGCGGGGCGCTTCTGTCTCCCCGGAAGCGGCGCAGAACACAGGTCTTTACAGGGAAGTTCCTATCGTCAGCGCCCTAGGGCTGGGAATTCGATTCACGAGGACACTGGCTTTGCCCCATCCTTTGTGTGACTTAAGATGTCACCGTCCCCCTGAGTTACCATCAAATGGCACAGGCTCAGCTCCCAGAACCATTATCAATCACAGAACTTAATTTATTGTTTTCCCTTAAGTTCTAGATTTGTTTTGTTTTATAGGGGAAAGGGTGGCTTAGTTTTCAGAAAACTCACTTTTTTTTTTTAGAGGTTTTTTTTTTTCTTTTGCTATAGGGAGCGTACGCTAGCCAGAAAGACAGAGAGAGACAGAAAGTGAGAAATCACCCCCTGGGGGGGGGGGGTGGAGGAGGGCCACACCGAAACTCCATTCTCCTCTTGAGATCTTGGGCACACACACACACACACACACACACACACACCCCTGGCATGAGTTTAAGCCACCGGGCCCAGGACTTGAACCACGGTCAACCTAATGGGAGTCTAGTACCTTACACACCACGCCACCTGCTGCCCACTCTCCACTCCTCGCAGGCCTTTCTTAATAGGTCAAAGTTTACATTTCCCTCCTCTCCAGGGTCCTGGACATCACTCCCCTTCAATTGTTTTTAAAATGTTTCCCACTAAACAGATGTGTGTATTTAATGTGAAAGGAAAACATAAAAACTATCCTGGAGCCACAGTGCAGAAATAAAATAAATCTTCACTGTGGAATTTCTAATGGTTTTACACTCACTGAGGTCTCTCAGTTTCACAGCTGGGAATAAACCTCGAACACCTGCTGCCATTGCCCCACACTATTATAAATTCTCACAGTGCCCCAGTGCTGAAAGGTGACATTCTGGTTCGAGTCACATACAAGATGCCACTATGTTTCTCAGGGACAGATAACAAGGACCAGAACCTGAGAAGTACTGCTATCCCCAGAGCGAACCGACTGGACTTATTGGTTCTTCTGCCCACCCCACCTGCTGTGTTTCTGGTGGTTCAAGATCTTGGGCTCTTTTTTTTTTTTTTTTTTTGAGAGGTTTTCACTATAGGGCGTGTGCGCTCGCCAGACAGACAGAGAGAGACAGAGAGACAGAAAGCCAGAAATCAACCCCCAGGGGGGATGGCCATGCCGCAATCCCTTCTCCTCCATTCTCCTCTCAGGATCTTGGGCACGCACGCACACGCGCCTGGCGTGAGTTTTAAGCCACCGGGTTCGGGACGCGAACCACGGTCAACTATGTGGGAGTCCAGTGACATAGCCATTATGCTAACTGCCAGTCCCAGGACCTTGGGCTCTTGATGGCGAGATCTTTTCTAAATGCGTCCTTGTGTACCCTACGCAGCAATTATAAACCTTATTTTGACAAATGTGCTTAAATATAAGAATTTGGGATCATCTGAAACTCTGAGATTTTATGTTACGGTATTGTCGGTGGCATGCGAATTCTGTTGTCTGAGTTAGCTGTACCATCTGAGATACGAAATGATAAATATTGCAGGTGGGGAAAATGGTTGTAAATGCCGCATTTGAACGTTAAAACAAATCAGAGCCAGCTGGTGGTTAAGGCCGCTGGATCCAGCATGTCTACAGTTCGAGTCCCAGACCCTCTGGCATGTGTGTGTGTATGCCCAAAATCCGGAAAGGAGAAGGGAGGAGAAGGAATTATGGCATGGTCAACCCCCCTGAGGGGTGCTTTCTCATCTCTTTCTCCTGGATGACTTCCCCTCACCAGAGAGTGCCCTGTGTGTCCTAGAGCAGAATTTTAGAAACAGGCTAGCAGGCGACATGGTGGTTAAGGCACTGGACTCCCTAAGGACAACCACCGTTCGAGTCCTGGACCTGGTGGTTTGCTTTCTCATGTTCCCTCTCTGTATCTCTCTTCCTCTCTCTCTGTCCCTATCTGGTGAGTTCACATACCCTACAGCAAATTTAATTAATTAATTAATTCTTAAAAAAAAATAACTGCTGGATCTGGAGGCTGTGATTTGAGGTCTGGCCAGCAGGGGGAGCCAGAGTTCTGCGCAAGCTGTAGGATTTGATTCACTGAGTCAAACCCCTTCAGAGTTCCTTGAGAATTTAATTGATGATAAAAAGTATCCACTAACATAACATCAGCTTTTTATTTTAAAGAGTGGCTTTTAATAAAGCTTTTTTTTTTCCCACGAGAGACAGAGAAAAAGCACTTCTGTCAGAGTCTTCACACCAAGACACACACCTCTGCTACATCTGGCCTGGCTCATGACACACATGCACACGAGTGTGTTCAGGGAGGTCCCGGACGCGAACCCAGGACGGCTCCCATGTGAGTTTAGTGGCATTATGCGGTGCCTCCACCTGGCTCGCAACCTCGACTTTAAAAATTTCTCTAGCTTTAACTTTTCACAAGTACACTAGTTGTGACGTAAGAGTATTATGCAGATTTCAGCCCAGTTAATTCAAAACCCGGGGCCGGCATGTGGCATGGTGGTTAAGGGCGCTGGACTTCCACATGGCGACCGAGGTTCAAGTCCCGGACCTGGCGGCTTGCTTTCTCACTTTCCCTCTCGCTTTCTGTCCCTCTCTGGTCAAACTAAAACAAAGAAACAAACTTAAATAAAGTAATTATTTTAAAAAATCCAAAATCCAAAATCTGCCAAACTCCGGTGGACTAGCCACACACATCCGGAGACTAAACATCAGCCTGGAACAGACAGGGTGCCCTTTCTTTCTAAATAAGCTTGGGCCTTGAAAATTAAGAGCAAAAATGTGTTTTCTGTCAGTTTCAGGACGATCTGCTTTCTGCAAACCACTGATGTGTTCTTCGAACCCAGAGGCACCTGCCAGTATCCACATAAAGACCTCCTCCACGAGAGGAAACGTGAACAAAAGCAGTTTCCTCATCTCGGCAACCTGGGTCCGAAGTCCCACTTCATTTTTTCTAGAGAGATTTTTGCTATAGGGCACGTGCACTCAGCAGAGAGACAGAGAGAGATAGAGAGACAGAAAGTGAGAAATCACCCTCCGGGGCGGGGGGTGCCAAAACTGCAATCCCCTCTCTTCCTTTCTCTCCAAATTTTGAAGCACGCACACACACGCGCCCAGTGTGAGTTTTTTAAGCCACTGGGTACGTGGGAATCCGGCAATGTGACCACCAAGCCATCTGCCGGTCCCCAGACGTCCCACCTCTGTGTGAGTGGAGGCTCTGGGCTTGACACTTCCGATCGCCCTCTAGTTTCTCCAAGGAGGGCTTTGGCAGTTTGACCTGACCCTATTGTGCCTCCTGCGGCTGTAATTCTAGAACAAACAGCCAAGATGGCATTGGGGTCAGCTGGGAAGGGAATCCATTAGAGCGTCTATTACCCCAGGAACAGGCATGTTGGGGGAGAGAAGCCCTTAATGACTCCCACACAATAGACAGCCCTGGGGACGTTCTCTACAGAGGCAACGTCCAAATGGAGTCAAATAATAAATGATTGCGAAATCGCTTCTCTTCCCCTGAACAAATGTGGCCCTCGGCAAACCGAA